TTGGCATTCAATGTTTCACTCCCATATTCTCCCTTTCTTAAGTAAATATATCAATAGTGTGGCTATAGCTAAGTGGCCTTTGATGAAATGCCATTAGTAGTTGACCAACTTAAGGAATGACCTAAACTCAATTACCTTGGCTAGTGGCTCCCAATCGAGAATGGCATGGACCTTGCTTACATTCATGTGTATCTTGCCACCTCTCATTATATGGCCTAGAAATGGTAGCTCTCGCTAGGCAAATGATTCTCTTTCTTCACATATAGTTCATGCTCCCATAACACCTCGAACACTTATCTTAAGTGGCCTACATGCTTCCCAATGTCTAGCTATAGATCATAATATCATTAAGATAAACCACAACAAAATGATCAAAAAATGACTGAAATACCTTGTTCATGAGTGTGCAAAATATTGTCGAAGCATTGGTGAGTCAAAATGGCATAACCAAGAACTCATAAGAGCCATAGCAGGTGACTTATGCTATCTTGGGCTTATCTCTCTCCGTAATCTTGACCTAGTAATAACCTAATCTCAAATCGAACTTAATGAACCATCTTGTGCCTCCAAGTTGGTTGAGCAAGTCTACAATTAGTGGGATAGGATACTTGTTATTCACGGTCAGCTTGTTCAATGCTTGGTAGTTAATACACAACTGGAATGACCCATCTTGCTGGCATTGGAGCAAAACTAGGGCACCATATAGGGCCTTAGATAGCTTGATGTAGTCAGCATTAATCAACTCTTTGAGTTGCTTTCTCAACTCCTCCAAATAGGTGGGGACATTTGGTAAGGGGCCTTGGTTGGTGGCTTGGCCTTAAGCAGCAACTCAATCTTATGGTCCACTTTTCCCTTGGCTGGCAGCTTGCTAGGCAGCTTTGTGGGCATCACATCACTAAAGGTCTCTAGCACCTTTAACACCTCTAAGGGGGTGTCAGCTCCTGCTCCCTTGGTTTCTCATACTTTCAGGCAACTAGGAAGGTGTCTTCATCTCTGCTCACAGCCTTGGCAAATTGAATGGTCGATAGCACCTTGGACCCAATCTCGAACCTGTGCCTCAATGGTACAAGGCTTTAGCACCATCTACTAGAATGTATATACAGTTTGCAAAAAGCACAAGAAGGGTGTTAGTCAAAATAAGGAAAACTAACCCAATCATAAACTCATAGTCATCCAAGGGTATTACCTTGATTGTTTCCATGCCCTTCCAGTCTCCAAGCTGTAACTCCACTCCCTGCACCATTCCAATGGCTGGAACATCCTTAAAGTTCACCGTCTTAATGGTAGCAATCCTCTTGTGCACCTTCAAGTCGAGTTTCTAGGCTCCATCACCTAAAATAAACAAATACAAGACACCTATGTCCATTAGTGTGCTCACTTTTACCCATAACCATCAGATCTACATATATCAATCCCTTTAGCTTATGGCTTCCCTTACCTTGAATAGCATTAAGCACTATTGACCTAAGCTTTACTATCCCAGACTCTGGCTCCTCATCTGACTCCTTGTTTATGGCAGCCAACTTACCTCTCTTTGGGTAGTTTCAAGCTAAATGTGGTTCTCCACACAAGTAACATGAGATCGACTCTCAATCTCCTTTTGCCTTCACTTCACTACTGGTGGCTTACCTTGGATGCCTTTGTTCAAATGGTCTTTGTCTCCTCTTTTGGACTACTAATCATAGTCTCTACCTCTAAACTATTATTCTCGATCTCTCTTATCCTTGCCTTTCCCCTTGGGCTTGGTAGACTCTTACTTGTTCTATGGCTTGAACTCCACCAAAGACTCGATGGTGGTCATGGCCTTGGCTAGTTCATGAACTCCCTTCCTTTATAGCTTGTACTTCACCCATGGCTTGAGCCAATCCATGAAGGCAAATAGACCCTTGGTCTCACTTATATCTAAAATCTGAAATGTTAATTCAAAGAACTTTTAGACATATTTCCTTATGTCCACCTGCTGAGTAAGATAGCCTAACTTTGCCTGTGCCTCATTATTGGCATATTTTAGGTAGAACTACTCTCTAAACTCCTTTTGGAACTCCTTCAAAGTTCTAATCAAGGCACCTCTATGGCTGATATCATCACACCTGTGCCTTCACCACAATAAGGTAACATTAGTAAGATACATTGAAGTAGTGCTTATCTTAGTAGCATTGTCTTACATGCTCCTAGCCTGAAAGTACTACTCTACCCCCTATAGATAGTTATCCACTTCCTTGGTTTCCTTAATCCCTTTAAACTCTTTAACATTAGGAATCTCCCATAGGTCGTAGACACTCCAATGATCACACCATTCCTAATGGTTATCTTGCAAGTAGCGAACTCCCTCTTGAGCTCCTCTATCTCTTTGTGCATGCATGGTCTCCATCTGGGCCTCCAAGGCTTCATTCCACTGGGTGATCATGTCAATGCCCTCATTTAGAGTTACTTGCAACTCACATTTGAGCTCTTCCTATGTGGAGTCTAATGCCTCAATGTGAGTCTCTACCTCATCAAGCTTCTTTTTTACATCACCCATTATTGCCTCCACCATGGACAGCTTCCCATCCATGGTAGACCAAATGTCACTCGAATTAGCTTTCTTCCCCCTTCCATGGCCTTACTCCTAGGCCTCTAGTTGTTGGCTATCAACATCACTTTGGGATGCCCTTTTCATGAACACCTTGAGTGTGATTAAATGCCACCGAATAGAACCTATGCTGAACTTGCTTGATACCAACCATCACAAGCTCTGACCTCTGACTCAGAATCCACCTGGCCTTAGACTAGGAATGTGTTCCTTAGGTCTAGGTCAACTTATAAACCAAGCGTACAGACAAACAAACAACTAAAAAGGTAGAATATGCAAGTTAGAGAGAACATAGAGAATGCTAGAATATGCATTGTATTATTGAAGAGCAATGTGTCTGATGATGTACAATTAAGGGTAGGGCAACCCTTATTTATAGTTAAGGCCCCTAGCTCTAATTATGGCTATCTCTTAAAATCAAGTGATTTACAAGATTCCTAAAAATAAGGGATTACATATCAATATATAGATTACACCCTGATTCTAATTATCACTCCTAATTTTTAGGGTTGACTAGATCGTCCTACTGAATGCTATCGATCTTGGATGCCTCTGGAAAATTTTGGATTGTCCAAGCTCCCCTGGTCCACCTAAATGCAGTGCAAGCATGTTGTAGGCCTGGTCCAGCTATACGAGCTGGCTTAGGTGTTGTGCAAGTGGTCTGGACACTTTTTCCATGCTTATTATGCCAACCCCTGTAACTATCTCTGGTGCTCGAGCCTTAGCCATAGGTGTTCGGGACTCAGTTATGGGTGTGCCTACCTAGAGCATGACACAAGCACATGCCTGGCCATCATGGCACAAGCTGGCCTTTAGTACGGGCACTTCCCTCAATCAGTATTGGTACAATTTGGAACCAATTTGAGCACATGTTTTAATTAGCATCAGCAAAAGGTGGCTCTTGGTGCAAGCAATTACCTCAAACACCATTCGCACATGCTGGCCCTTGGTGCAGGCACATGCTGGGTCTTTCCTGTGAGACCTTAGTGCCAGATATACCTATTTGAAAAAAGTGTCCCTATTTCAGACACTTTAATGTCTACTGCTAGCATATCTATAAAATCACTCATGATCTTTAAAGAGGTAGTTATCTGAGCTCCCCTTCTCTCCCATACGGGGAGTAGGTGTGCTTGATGGGCCTGTTACTACGTACATCCATAACAATGTCACTAGAGCAAAATCCAAGCCATGCATGCCTTCTAGTTATTTTGTCATATGACTGGTTGCTTCAATGACCCGTAGGCACCCATGGCCTCGATCGATTGGTGTGCATGAGAAAAAGCCAAGCTCAAGCTTGTCTTTGTGGTTGATGCTACCTCAGACCCTAAACCAAGTCCTTGAATTAGGCAACAGCTTCTTGGGGTGGTGCAAATAGAAGTTGTGGTCACGGGTTTGGCCTGGCCAAGTCTCTTGAGTATTTAGTGATCTCATGGTCCCCTGTCATCAACCACAAAATTGCCTTGGCCTGGCCAAGCTCATGTGTCATGGGCTACGACCTTTAAACCATAATCCGTGCAACCTTAAGCTAGGAATTGACTCCTTATGCCTAAATCAATGTGTGAACTAAGCGTATGGGCACAACACCTACTAGAAAGGTAGAATGTGCAAGTTAAAAGAAAAAGAGAATGTTGGAATATACTATACATATTACTGAATGGTGAATGATACAACTAAGGGTAGCGCAACCCTCTATTTATAATTGAGGCCCCAACACTAATTATGGCTACTCTTAAGATCAAAGGATTACATGATTCCTAAAAATAAGGGATTACATATTAATACATAGATTACACCCTACTTCCAAGAATCCCTTCCTGATTCTAAGGGTTGACCAGATCTCCTAGTTTGTGCTACCAATCTTGGATGCTTATAAATGATTTTGGATTGGTCTCACTCCCATGGGTCCACCTTAGTGTTGTGCCAGCATGATATGGGCCTGGCCCTAGCCCTGCAGGCAGGCCTAACTGTTGTGTGGGTGCTTTGGACACTACTCCCATGCTTATTGTGCCAACCTCTATTTTTGTCCTTGGTGTTTGAGCCTAGGCCACTGGTGCATGGGCCTCAGCTCTTGGTGTACCCACCCAAGGCATGACATAAGTTGAATGGCTTGAGGTAGGCCTCTAACATTCTATTCATGCATTTACTTTGCCTATCAATTTGAGGATGCATACTGGTGGAAAAGTTCAAGTCCGACCCCAACCGCTTAAACAACTCAGTCTAAAACTACCCTATGAATCACCCATCCTGATCACTAACAATGGTCTATGGTACTCCCTAATACTTTACCACGTTATTCAGGAACAAATGGGTTGCCTCCTCAACCGAGCACTCTTTGGTTGTTGGAATGAAAGTCCCACAGTTGGAAAATCTATCCACTACTACCATAATGCTCCCAAACCCTTCTACTTTAAGTAGATGACTATGAAGTCTAGAGTGATGCTTTCCATGGTTGTTTTGGTATGGGGAAAGGCTTCAATAGACCAGCTAGTGGCTTAAGCTCTATCTTGTCCTGTTGGCATACATGATAGGTTTTCACATAGGCCTTAACATCATCTCTCAAGTGTGGCTAGTAGTAACCATCATTTAGCAATGCTAAGGTATGGCTCACCTTTGGGTGACTAGCATACGTGGAATCATGGTACTCCTGCATAACCTCCCTATAGAGCTTCCCATGCTATGGCACAAACAATCGATTGCCCTTGGTGTACAACAAATCATCCTGTAACCAAATCCATCTAGTCTTACCTTGCTTGGCATGGTCGATAAGAGTTTTAGCTGTAGGATCATGGGATAGCCCTTCTCTAATGCATGGCACCAAAGATCCTTCTAGTTGGCTAATAGTATCAAGGCTTGTCTTTTAGCTAAGGGCATCCACCACTATGTTTGTGCCCCTAAGTTTGTACTCTAACCTGTAATCAAATTTCGCAAGCAAGTTTTACCAATGAGCTTGTTTGGGGGATAGCTTTTTTTGTGTCTAAAGTAACGGGTTGTAACATTGTCAATTCTAACCACAAACCTTAACCCCAAAAAGTAATGCTGCCAAGTGCACAAGCAGTGCACCACTACTGTCATCTCTTTCTCTTGGACTGTGTATCTGTGCTTGGTGTCATTAAGCTTCTAGCTTTTAAATGTAATCGAATGGTTCTCTTGTATTAGTATGCCCCCTATTATAAAGTTTGATGCATCGTATATACCTCATACGATTTGGCATGGTCTGGTAAGGCTAAAACTGGCTTCTCTATCACTACTTGCTTCAACTAATCAAAGGCTTGTTGGTATGTGATGTTTTACTCCCACACTCTTCCTTTCTTAAGGAAATCAATTAATGGTATGGCTATGGATGAATGGCCTTTGATGAAGAATCGGTGGTAGTTAACCAGCCCAAGGAATGATCTCAACTTGGTGACCTTGGCTGGCAGTTCCCAATCTAGAATTGCATGGACCATGCTTGCATCAATGCGTATCTTGCCACCTCCTACTATGTGGCATAGAAATGGTACCTCTCGCTAGGTAAATGAGCACTTCTCCTTCTTTATGAATAGTTCATTCACCCACAATAGTTCGAACACATGTTTCAAGTGGTCTACATGCTCCATCAATGTCTGGTTATAAATCGCAATATCATCAACATAAACCATAACAAAACAATCAAGAAATAATTGTAGCACCTTGTTGATGAGCATGCAAAATGTTGTTGGAACATTAGTGAGTCCAAATGGCATAGCCAGGAACTTATAAGAGCCATAGCAGGGTGACACATGCAATTTTTGGCTCATTTCCCTCCGTAATCCTAACTCGGTAGTACCTTGATTGTAAATCTAGATCGGTGAACCACCTTGCACCTTCAAGTTGGTTGAACAAATCAATAATAACGGGGATAGGATACTTGTTCTTAATAGTCAACTTGTTTAGTGCTTTGTAGTTAATACACAATCGCAATGACCTATCATGCTTGTGTTGGAGTAGAATCGAGGCACCATATAAGGCCTTAGAAGGCCTAATGTAGCCAATATTGATCAGTTCCCTAGGTTACTTCCTCAACTGTTCCAACTTTAGGGGTGACATTCGGTAAGGAGCTTTGGTTTGTGGCTTGGCCTCTGACACCAGCTTGATCTTATGGTCCACTTATTTCTTAGGTGGTAGCTTACTAAGCAACTATGCTAGCATCACATCATTAAAGGTCTCTAGCACCTTTAACACTTCCAAGGGGGTGTCAATTTCTGACTCACTTAGCTCATCATACTTTAAGGCAGCCAAGAAGGTGTATTCATTCTTGCTCACCACCTTGACAAATTGAATGGTTGATAGCACCTTAGTCCCAGTCTCGGACCCTTACCTTAATGGTACAGGCATTGCCATTGTGCATCCAAAATGCATAAGCAATTGGCAGAAGGCAGAAGGGGGCATTAACCCAAACAAGGAAATCTAAACCAACCATAGACTCATGATCATCTAAGGGTATTACCTTAATGGTTTCTTTGCCCTTCTAATCTCCAAGCTGTATCTTTACCCCACGTGCCACTTTAATGGTTGGAACATCCTTAGAGTTGACTATCTTAATGGTATCAGTCCTCTTATGCACCTTCAGGTCAAGTTTCTAGGCTCCATCACCTAAAATGAACAAATGTGAAGCTCTCATGTCCACCAATGCACTCACCTTCCTACCTGCAACCAATAGATCTACATACATTAGACCCTTTAGCTTGTGGCTCCTTTTACCTTAAATTGCATTGAGCATAACCAAGCCAAGCTTTGTAGTCTTCTTTTTTGGCTCCTTATTCGACCCTTTGTCTATGGTAATTGGCTTACCCTTTTTTGGGCAGTCATGTGTTCTAATAAGAGATTGACTCCCTGTCTCTTCTAGCCTTTCACTTCCTTACTGGGGGCTTGCCTTGGCTGTCCTTATTTGAATGGTCATGATCTCCCTCTTTAGACTGTCGATCATAGTCTCCACCCTTGGATTGTTGTTCTTGACTCCTCTTGTCCATACCTTTCCCCTTGGGCTTGGTAGACTTTGACTTGTTTTATAGCTTAAACTCCACTAGGACTCAGAAGTGGTGATGACCTTAGCCAGGTCATGAATTCCCCCTCTTTGTAGCTCGTGCTTCACCCATGGTTTGAGCCTATCCTTGAAGATAGATAGACCCTCAATCTCACTTAGATTTGAAATTTGTAGCATCAATTTAGAAAACTTTTGGACATACTCCCTTATATCACCCTGTTAAGTAAGCTAGCGTAACTTTACCTGTGCCTCATCATTGGCATACTTGGGGTAGAACTACTCCCCAAATTCCTTTTAGAACTTCTTCTCGGTTCCAATCAAGGCATCTCCATGCCTCACATTATCACACTTGTGCCTCCACCATAACAAGGCAACATTAGTAAGATACACCGAAGCATTGCTTACCTTAGTAGCATCATCCTGCAAGCCCATGGCTTAAAAGTATTAGTCTATCCCCCATAGAAAGTTGTCCACTTCCTTGGAAGCCCTAGTCCCCTTAAGCTCTTTAGGCTTAGGGATATCCACACAAGACTTAGGCAATCTAGTGATCATGCCATTCCTAATGGTTGTTTTGCAAGCAATGAGCTCTTTCTTGAGCTCCTTCATCTTCTTGTGCATGGTCTCCACTAAGGCCTCCAAGGTTTCATTCCACTGGGTGATCATGTTAATGGACTGATTTAGAGCTTCTTGCAACTTAACTTTGAGTTCCTCCTCCACAGAGTCCAACTCCTCAATGTGAGTCTCTAACTTATCAAGCTTCTCCTTTATATTGCCTATTATCACCTCCACCTTGGCTAGCTACACATCTATGGTAGGCTAGATGTCCCTCGAACTAGCTTTCATCCCCTTTTCATGACCTTGCTCTTAAGACTCTGGTTGTTGGTTAGCAACATCACTTTGGGATGCCATTTTTGTGAATGCCTTGAGTGTGACCTGAACACAACCAAGTAGAACCTACTCTGATGCCAACTATCATGGGCCTCAGACTTTTAAACCAAAATCTGTGTGGCCTTAAGCTAGGAATTGACTCTTTATGTATAAGTCAGCCTGTTAACCAAGCGTCCGAGTACTACACCAACTAGAAAGGTAGAATGCACAAGTTAAGAGAACAAGAGAATGCTGGAATATGTTGTATATTATAGAGTGGTGAATGATACAATTGAGGTTGGGTCAGCCCTCTATTTATAGTTAAGGCCCCAGCACTAATTATGCCTGCTCTTAAGATCAAAGGATTACATGATTCCTAAAAATAAAAGATTACACATTAATACATAGATTACACCTTGATTCCAAGGATCTTCTCTTGATTCAAAAGGTTGACCAGATCTTATGTTATATGATGATCCTAGATGCTTCTAGATGATTCTAGATCAATCCCACTCCCATGGGTCCACCTAAGTGCAGTGTGAGCATGATGCAAGCCTGATCCTAGATGTTTCTAGATGATTCTAGATCATTCCCACTCCCATGGGTCCACCTAAGTGTAGTGCGAGCATGATGCAAGCCAAGCCATGGTCCTATGGGCAGGCCTAACTATTGTGTGAGCTGTTTGGATGCTTCTCCCATGCTTATTATGCCAACCCCCACTTTTATGCTTTGTACTCAAGCTTGGGCCACTAGTGCGCGGGCTTCAACTCCAGTCTGCTTACTAAGGGCATGACACATAAGTGCAACTGATGCTGTACAAGACCCTATGAACAAGTCCATGAATCAGGCAACATCCCTTTAGGGTGTTGATAGCAGAGTTTACATGTGTGGTTCTGGCTAGAACAAGCATTGGTGGTGTTGTGTTGTTGTTACTTATGGGATGGCAGAGGCTGTCGTGTGGCCTTTGCTTGTGTTTTTCCCATGCCAAGCAATTGTGGTGTCGCCTCATACATTGTTTCCTCCACTTGTTCATTGTGTAATTGATCGGGTGGGTTGCAGATCGATGTGCATGGATACTACCACTTGTGTGCAATGGACATATGAGTGGTGATATGGTTGTGCATGTTGGTAGGCTCCATGCTCAATGCACCAAACTATTGACCTGTCATTCTTTTCAATTTCCCCCATGCGAGCATTGTACCCTAGGGGTGAAGTCAAAATCCTGTGCTGTATACCTAAATCAATGGAAACCAAATGCCTTGCCATCCCTTATCCATCTTATGTCCCTAAGGGCTACAGGTTAGACCTCAATCGTGCCCTGTGTCCCAAGTGTGCCACCTAAAACTCCATGGTCACATTAGTGTACCAGTGTTCGATCATGCTCTCGGATGTAGAATATTTTATGGGCGTGGGCTTTTAGCCCTTGTTCATTGATGCTATGCATTCCACATGCTCGATACACATGATGCTTGTGCCCATGTTGGCTCTCTCCACTGTTCAATTAGTGCATTGAGGCCTATACAATGCCAACGTCCTGAAGGAAAGCTACTTGGTTGCCAATAGTCATATACTTGCCTCAAAGATTAAGCCATGCATGTGTAAGTATGAACTAAATTAGACTGTGAAACTAAAATGGCTAATTAAATCAGTTATAGTTTGTTTGATAGTATCTATTACTCAAATAATTGTAGTAATTCTAGAGCTACTATATACAACAAACCCTGACTTTTGGAAGGGATGCCTTTATTAGATAAAAGGTTGACATGGCCTTTGCCTATTACTCTGATGATTTATGATAACTCGACGAATCACACACATTTTATGCTAGTGATACATCATTCAAATTTCTACCTTATCCACTTTCGATGGTAGGATAGTGACCTACTATGGTGGTGATGGGTGATAGAGAATTAGGGTTTGATTCCAGAAAGGGAACCTGATAAATGGCTACCATATTCAAGGAAGGCAGCAGGCATGCAAATTACCCAATCTTGACATGGAAAGGTAGTGATAATAAATAACAATATTGGGCTTTATGAGTCTGATAATTGGAATGAGTACAATCTAAATCCCTTAACAAGGATCCATTGAAAGGCAAGTTTTGAGCTAGCAGCCATGGTAATTCCTGCTCCAATAGCATATATTTAAGTTGTTATAATTAAAAAGCTCATATTTAGAGCAAGGTTAGGTTATTCAATCCGCCTCACTATGAACACCAATCTACTAGTCCTATTGTTGGCGATGTGCTCTTGGCCTTAATTGACCAAGTTGTTCCCCCGACATTGTTAATTTGAAAAAATTAGAGTGCTCAAATCAGGCCTACGCTTGTATTCATTAGCATGGGATAACATCATAGCATTTCGATCCTATTGTGTTGGCCTTCGAGATTGGAGTAATGATTAACAGGGACAATCAGGGCATTCGTATTTCATAGTTAGAGGTGAAATTCTTGGATTTATAAAAGATGAACAACTACAAAAGCATTTGCCAAGGAAAGATGAACAACTACAAAAGCATTTGCCAAGGAAAGATGAACAACTGCAAAAGCATGTGCCAAGGATGTTTTCATTAATCAATAACAAAGTTGGAGGCTCGAAGATTATCATATACCATCTTAGTCTCAACCATATACGATGCCAACTTGGGATCAATAGATGTTACTTTTAGAATTTTACTAGCACCTTATGAGAAATCAAAGTCCTTGGGTTTCAAAGAGTATGGTCATAAGGCTAAAACTTAAAGGAATTTATGGAAGGACACCACCAGGAGTGGAGCCTATGGCTTAATTTGACTCAACACGAGGAAACTTACCAAGTCCAAACATAGTAAGGATTGATAGATTGAGAGCTCTTT